AAATCTGTTTCACAAGACCTCTTTAAAGTGTTTAAGAACAAAGATGTCAGTTTGAGGACTAATATGTGCCTGGCCTAAGCCATGGTATTTTCAGTAGCTTTATATGCATGTGAAAGTTGAACAATGAATAAAGAAGACATAAAAGAATTGATGCATTTGGGTTATGGTATTGGCGATGAATATTAAAAGTACCATGATCTGCCAAAAGACAGACAAATCTGTTTTGGAAGAAATACAACCAGCATGTTGTAGCCAGGATGGTGATTCATCGTCTCTTATACTTCAGACATGTTATCAGGAGGGACCAGTCCTTGGAGAAGGACATCATGCTTGGTAAAGTGGAGGATCAGCAAAAAAGACCCCCAGCGTGATGGATTGGCACAGTGGCAGCAGCAATAGGCTCCAGTATAACAATTGTGAGGATGGTACAGGACAGGAAGTGTTTCATTCTGTTGTGTATAGGGTGTCTATGAGTGGGAACCAACTCAAGGGCACCTAACAATAACAACAATAGCTTTAAAATATTCCTCAATGAACTCCCAAACTTTCTATCATAAAGAAATATTATAATGTTTTATGTCCTGGTGTGGTACCATAGGATAAGCACTTGACCTCAAGGTCAGTTCGAACTGCAAGGTCAGCAGTTCAAGCTCACCAGCTGCTCTTCAGAAACCCTACACAGGGTCACTATGAGTCAGAACCAACTCGGTGGCACTTAACAACAACATATCCTATTAACAAAGGATAAAGGTGTTTTTGTAGATAACTCAAAGCTGCTGTCATAAAATCTATCATGTCAGGAACAGCAGTGGATAACATTTGGAGAGGTCTTAGGTCAGGTTTAAAAATAAATAAATAAATAAAGCTCATTATGTATTCAATAAATATGTAAGTAGAATCAGTCCATTGTTCATGTTATTTAAAGATGAAAAGCCATACCAGCCTTGAAAGAGATGGTATCTTGGTAAGCAAACCTACCATGTTCCCCAGGTGAAGGTGAAAAAGTGCACTGTATTCTCTGCATATGACAGTTGAGATTCATCCAGCACTGTTATTTTCTTCTTGATGTTTTGGAATACTAAGGAAAAGGTACTATCGAGTTAAACTGAATTAAACTTGTTCTGACCATACTGATAATCTAAATTTAGCTAACAATGGATTATAATCGTTTTGTCTTTAAACCCATTAGCATTTAGAAGTATTGGGCTATACTTCAGTTTATAAAAATGTGTTCTTTTAACTCTGGCCTTTTAAGCTCTGCAGTTTTTACTTCCACAAAGATGTTGGAAGGACTGTGTAAAGAAATAGCCAGCCGTGAAGTCATGCTTAAGCAATACATACTTAGACTTATTTGGATTTATTTGGGGAGATTCCCAAGTGTTTGTCAAAGAAGTTCTAAAATTTAAATTCCATTTTTCTGATTAACAATGAAAGTGGTCTACAGTACTCACTTTCAAGCAACTATGGTCATTCTGGACTTTGGGAATGTTATTTCTAAATTCAGTGATTTTGATTCTTTTTTTTTTTTTAAATCCTCTTAACATCATTCTGCCCTACAGAAATGTTGCTATAAGATGCTGTGTTTTTTATACTCAGAATGTTAAATTTAATGAAAAGAAGTAGCTTATAGTTTGGTTTAGAATGGAAATACTGTACATTGAGGTGATAGTTGCTATTTTTAAACATACAAAGAGATGAGAAATAGTAATATTTCTAATCTTCATTTAGCTGTAGACGTTAAGAGATATGCTCTGTTAAATCTCTAGTTTCTTGTTACTCCATAGTTGTTTTTGAACAACTTTCAGAGATATTTTAAAGTATGTATTTGTACAGTGTGTGGCACTGTAGGATAAGTACTGGCCTACTACTAACTCCAAAGTTGGCAGTTCAAACCCACCAGTCTCTCCTCAGAAACCGTATACAGGGTTGCTATGCTGGAACTAACTTGACCATCTTTAGCAACAACAATTGTAATTATGACTCAACACTAAAGACTCTTAACTCCATTGTACAATAAACATAACAGTTTATTAAACAAAAAAATAGATTTTCCATAGTAAAAAGTAGGTAAGACACATTCCTAGGATTGGGATTCAAAAGTAGATATTAATTCAAAGCAGCTGGATGCTGGGACTTCAAGAGGAGACGGTCCTGTCTTCCTGCTGTGTCCTTGTAAGAATTGACATCTGACAGTATTTTGTAGCTTCTCGGTGTTTCTGGACTCCTTCTACTGAGTTAGTGAGACAGAGAGACTGACAGCTGTAGAAATAGATAGGTGTTTACAATCTAACAGTCCAAGACTTTGAATTCAAGAAAAACTCCCCAAAGATAATGCTTTTTTAACATCAAAGATAAGACTCAGTCCATCTAAGGGTATGTTTGTCAGGTTTATTTTCTTCAACTCAGCTGACTTTCCTGGCTGGATTATATATGTATTATTCCTTATGCCAACTTCTTCCACAGTTCATATCCAGTGATCCCTAGTTATGTTTCTAGATTACTGTATCATGAACTATTCTGAGTTAATATTTTATAAAAGCAATTATCAAACCAAGGCTGAAATATTAAATGGTCCTGGGGAGCTGGGAGAAAGAGGGTCACAGCTACTTCCATCTACATGGTGCTCTCATCAGTAACCAAGTCACTTAATGGCAGTGCCCCTTCCAGCTAGAGGATCACAGCTACTTCCATCTACATGGTGCGCTCATCAGTAACCAAGTCAATTAATGGCAGTGCCCCTTCCAGCTCTCATCAGTAACAATTCCACAGTTGATCGGGTGAGTAGATTTATTATCAGGAAGCTTGTATCTGCTCACATGTCACACCCATATGATGATGCCATTTGAATCGGTTTCAGAACTTAAAGCAACAACAAAAATTCATTAAGATAAAATCATTTTTCCAAAATTAATAAGAATTTCTCTATCTCCTGACTTGTTACTGCTCTTTACAAAGAAGATGAAGAAATTCCGTGGGATTTTGAGTAAGGCTTTTTCTGAGGAAGGTTTATGAATGAGATAGAAAATATTTTAGAAATTTGAGCTCTGCATTCCTAGGGATTGCCTTATTTTGTTTTGCTTTGCACATTCATAATAAAATGATAAACAATGAAACTAGGTCATTGAAAGAGTTAAAAGGATTTCTGTGTTGGGTGGATTAGGGTAACAGATGGAATGCATGTAGGTGGGAAAGCTATTATTAAATAGGAAGGCTACTGTATATTGGAAGGGGACAGATTTTTGAGGGTAGCAGGGGTTTGGGACTTAACATTTTGAGCACTAAATAATATATTCAATAGTGGACACAGTAAGAAAAGGAAGCCAAAGCATATGGTCAGGAAGGGAGTTAACAGGTCACCCACAAAGAGGAAGAATGTGGTAGCTAACAGAAACTGAGTGTAGATGAGAAGTGGGTAAAATGGTATCAGGATACCCAAAGGCCTTCAGAAACTAAACAACTTCAGATAGTAAAGAAATTACTTTGTAAATACTGATATTGCTACCTTCATTTGGGAAGTGTCTTTGTGTGTATAGGGAAGAAAAATGAAGGAAACAACTATGAGTTGCCACCTTGTGCTTTTGCCGATATGCATATGAGTGAAATGTGTGGAGGAAGTGAGAATCAGTCACATACACAGGAAACCAATAAAGAAAGTTGAGATGCTGGATATTAAATATCACCAATTCTCAGACAAAAAGTGGGACAGACTACTCCACACTTCTTTCTCGTTTTCACATTTGAATGTCCTTTTTTAAAAATTATTCAGTCTTTATTTTCAATAGCATTGGTTCAGTAAAAAGCCCCTCAAAACAAAGAAACAGTTGTCTAGGTTATGTTGGAACACAGCCCTTTTCCTGTTGTGCTTTCTGCTCAGTGTAGTCAAGTTTACCAAGCCATATTTTCACCCGGCAGAGACTATGCGAACCTCAGATTGTGATCGAGAGTTATTTATTTATTTTAAACTTTTTATTGTGAATTGCATGAAGATTTGCAGAGTAAATCGTCCATTTTACATTCAACAAATCATACTTTTTGTTTCATGCAATCCCCTCCATGTAACATCAGTTATCCTACTCTCTTCCTGTTTCTTGTTTCCATTCCTCTTCGGTCTCAACCCTTCTAAATTTTATCCTTAAGTAAATGCTGCCCTTTTGATCTCAAATGGCTGACCATTCTATGGTGTGTGTACTTCACTAGTGTTACTGTTCCCCCATATACCTATCTGTTGCTTGGCTGAATATTGAGTGATGAAAGTAAACTCAGTTCCAGACCTAAAAAGTGACCAAGGGCCATGGTCTCGGGGTTCCCACCAGTCTCTATCTGACCAATGAGTCTGGTCTTTTTTTGATAATTTTGAGTTTTGTTCCACATTTTCTCCTACTCTAACCAGGACCTTCAAATGTGATTCCTTTCACATCAATACGTCTGGTTGTATTCAGAGAATTACATGATCATATTTAAGGAACCTCCAAAGTGCTAGATAAATCCAAGATGGTATTACCAGTATAATAATCCCTTATATTTGTGGGTGACTTTAGAGTTCACATACATTTTTACTTGAGTTTTAAAATAGATTATGAATCTTGGCAACATGGTCTCTTTGTTTTAGGTATATGATTAATCAAAATATTAATTAGAAGAGAGATAGATGCATAAACATTTAATTATTATATAAGGATTACAGCAATGCAGTAAAAACACAAAATAGAATTACAGAAAGCACAGCACTGCTTTTAAAAGTCTATGATGTTGTTATTAAGTGTTGTTAAGTTGATTCTAACTCGTAGCAAGCCTGTATATGGTTTCTGAGGAGCAATTGATGCGCTTGAACTGCTGACCTTTAGGCTATCAATCCAGTGCTATACCAAGACCCCTGCTAACTGCATCTCATTCCCAGTAAATCTGATCCCTAGCAAACTCCTCCCTGAGTTTGTAATTCGTCTGCCCAAGCCTTTGTTTATTATGTGTAAACATGGGAGTATTTTTGCTTTTGCCCAAAGGCAAGACAGCAAGCTCAAATCCGTCACCAAATGGCAGAAGATAGCAAAGCAGATTATTCATCAGTTCTCCAGAAGTTCAACCATGAGCAGCATGAATATTACCATACACACATACCCAACATCTTTCAGGTAAGTGATTCAGATCTCTCAGATTTCATGACTTGATTTGCTTAGAAATATGTTGCTTCTGACCTTATGTTGCTAGATTTGTATTCTAAGTGCTTTTATGTATTTCTAAACTTATACTACCTGAAATCATTTTGTATAGCACTTATATCAAGCATTGCCTAACATAAAGAATTAAATATAACATTAATCTCAGGGTTAATCAATAGCCTTTGCAAATTTCCAAATCTGTGAAGATAATTCTTTGGTTTGCACCTGTGACCATTCTTTGTCAGTTTTAGAACTGATTCTTAGATTAGCACTCTTTTTTCCTAAAAGGACCATTCTCATTACAAAAATGCCAAGTTAACTTGAGGAGTTAAAATAGTTTTCATAAAGTTGTAGCATTTGAACAGTTGTCAAACTGTTCTGTCCTTTTAGTTGTTTTTGTTTTGGGTACTTTGTTGTTGGTACTGTCGAATCGGTTCCAACTCATGGCAACCCTGTATAGAGTTTTCTAGGAGTGACTGGTAGATTTTGAACTGCCAGCCTTATAGTTAGTATTTCAGTGCTTAGCCTACAGTACCACACTAGGACCCCTCAGGTACTCTGTTGTTGTTAAGTACAGTCTAGTTGGTTCTGACTCATAGCGACCCTGTATAGAATTTCCGAGGAGTAACTGGTGAATTTCAATCACTGACCTTGCAGTTCAAACTGACCTTGTGGTCCATCGCTTTATCCCACAGTGCCACACAAGAAAAGATAAATATTCTCTCACTTGGGAGTGTTTTAGTACAATTTAAAGTACAGCTACTTTTGCAATTCAGAGTCCTGGTGTGGCACTGTGGGTTAATGCACTGGAGTGCAAGGTCAGTTTGAACTGCACGGTCGGCGGTTAAAGCTCACCAGCCGCTCCTTGAAAACCCTGTACAGGTTGCTATGGGTTAGAACCAGCCTGATGGCACTTGACACACACACCAAACAAAAAAACGTAAGTATTTTCTTTTTGATGTCTACACACACAGAGCAAATAAGAATTTCCAGATAATAGAAGAATGATTCATTGATTATATCTCAGCAACCAAGCCAGTTGCTGACACCTAATCCGATACTCTGGTAAAGGATAAAGTAGTGAATCAAAGACAGAAAAAATATTTGAAATGTATTGTTAAATGGTGTTAATAATAAACCAAGTTGAATTTGGGGGTTTTACTGACACTGGAAGAGTCCTGGTGTGGCATGCTAGAATATGTACTGCTAACCATAAGGTCAGAGGTTCAAACTCATCAGACGCTCCTCAGAAACCCAATACAGGGTGGCTATGAGTTGGAATTGACTTGACGACACTTAACAACAGCAGCAACACTAACATTGGAATAGAAATATGCAAAGTATACATTTTGGGTAGCCTAACAAGCCATAAGGAGTCCTAGTGTGGCACTGTGGGTTAATGCACCAGACTGCAAAGCCGTTTGAACTGCAAGGTTGGAAGTTCAAGCTCACTAGCTGCTCCTCAGAAACCCTGTACAGGGTCGCTATGGGTTGGAACTGACTCGAAGGCACTTCACAACAAGAAGTCATAAAATATGTCTTCAAATGGCTAATATACAATAAATTTACTGTTGGCTCATTTCCCTCTTGAAAAGCTTGTTAGACTTCACTATGCTGTCTAGAAAACAACTTCTTTAAATAAAAGTGGACTAAATTAAATTCTATACAACATCTCTTGCTGCAGAAAATACAAGAGATGGAGGAAAGAAGGATAGTGAGAATTGGAGAGTCAATGAAGACATATGCAGCGTCTGATCGGCAGGTGATACCAATTATTGGCAAATGCTTGGATGGAATAGTAAAGGCAGCTGAATCAATTGATCAGAAAAATGTAAGTATTGTAATTTGGGGCTTAATTTATAACTAAGTGTTTGTGTTCTCATAATACCAAATGAGTAGGTAAATTTCTAACAACTACAAAAATAATTTTTTTAAAAAAGGTTATCTAGACTTGGCAAGGTCTTGTCTCTCCTCCCCATTTCACAATGTCCTCATCTAATCATGTCATGATTGGTCCTCATGGGTCTCATCACACACTGCTCACCACAAGTACTTCTCATTAATAGCAGCATCACTTGAGAGTCACTTGAGAGTTCTTTTATTCGTCCCTCTGTGCTTTATATTAACTTGCTAATTTCTTATATGAAAACACATTTTAGTGGTAAATTTTCTGAGGCATTAAATTGAAATGTTTTCTTTTTGTCAGTTGGTTGAGTGACCCCCCCCCCCCAACTTGGGGTCTGATTGATTTCTTGAAAAGGGCAAGCCTTTGTTTCCTGTAGGGCACTGCTGACAACTTGGGTCAGATAATTATTTTGTTAGGAGGGCATGCTGTTCTGTGCATTGCAGGATGCTAAACAGCAGCCCAGACTTCTAATCACGAGATGCCAGTGGTGGTGGTGATGCTTATGTGCTGTGGAGTCTGTTCCAACTCATAGCGACCCTTTATAGGGTTTCCGAAGTTATATATCTTTACAGGATCAGAAAGCTTCATCTTTCTTCTGCGGTACATCTGGTAGTTTCAAACTGCTGACCTTGAAGTTAGCAGCCCGACTTGTAACCACTACACTATCCGAGCTCCTTAGATGCCAGTAGCACTCCCAAGTTGTGAAACTCAAGTGTCTCCACTGTGTAACCACTGCTTCAGGCTCAGTGTTACCATTTTCATTTCCTTTCTTAGAATGTATATCTCTCAACAAAAATGTTGGCTTTTTAAAACATTGACTCCTTTGCAAAACTAAGTATTTAACATTTAAGTTATGCCATAAGTATTTTGTGTCACTGGGGCTTCTTAAAATGTGACTCCAGGGACTCTGAAGCAGTTTTTCCTTGTGAATAGGTCACCTATTAGCAGACAGATTGTTCATTGCTCTAGGAACACACAGTATGTATTAAAGTATAGGGTCTTCTGTGTAACAAGTGTTGGCCTAACATTTGGAGTGCTTCCAAAACTGTTACAGAGTAAATGTCCATAGTAAGGCAAGTTCCCTGTTAGCAAGATTGCTTTTAGGATGCTTTGCTCCTTGTTTTAACACCTACAAGGAGGTTTCAGCTATTTTATGGGAAAATTCCATTTCCGTTTTCCATAAGCTATTTGAAATTTCTTGCGTATTTGTCTAGGGCATCCTTCTTCCGAGGTTTTGGCTAACTTTTTGGGAAAATATTATTGATGCTTCTGAATTGGCCTTTCCCCTTGAAATCTGTTATACTAACAAGTTTTCTTTCTAAGTGATCAAGCTATCCTTTTCTTGAACTAAAAGTTTCTTTATTTGGTGATTATCTTTCTATTTTAGGCCTCTGAACAGAGAAAGAGTGCTTTTGTTGAAATTGTTGCTTGGTTTAGAGATATGTGAATTCTTCGTCACTGGTCATTCATTCATCAAATCAAAGTTGTCCTTGTTATTAGTCTTCCTATTCCATTTTCTTATCACTGCTGATAGTCATTCCTGTGCATCTGTGGCTTTGGTCAAAGTCTTGGTAATTGTAAATGCCTGAGTCACAGTAGGAAATCAGGAAGTGGTCTCAGTGAGGCTTTCCTTAGTCACACTATTGAAAAGCTCAATGGACCCAAATTAATATGGAGGTCTTTTAAAGAATAGCAAAGGCATTTGAACTGCAAGGTTGGCGGTTCCAGCTCACCAGCTGTTCCTCGGAAACCCTATATAGGGTCACTGTGGATTGGAACCAACTCAACAGCACTTAACAACAACATATAAGTTAAGCCTTCAAAACTCATGTTACCTAAATGTGAATTTTGGCATTTCTTTCAAACTAGCCAGATTTTTAATTTCTTATATTAGAAGTTTGGAAATGTTTTTTTTTTTTCTTCTTGAACTTTCACAATTTCATAAGATTAGGTCTGAACAATGATTTCTCTCTATCAGCTTTATTTGCAAAGTTCTAAACCCTTAGATTTATAGATTCCCCTCCCCCACCTCATTATGTTGTTGTTGTTAAGTGTCATCAAGTCTGTACTGACTCATAGTGACCCTGTTCACAACAGAACGGAACACTGCTCAGCCCTGGGCTAACCTCACAATCATTGCTACACCTGAGCGCATCACTGCCGCCCCTATACCCATCCATCTTGTTGAGGGTCTTCTTCTTTTTCTCTAACCCTCCACTTTACCAAACATGATATACTTCTCCAGTGACTGGTCCCTCCTGGTAATGTGTTCGAAGTATGAGAGACGAAGTTTGGCCATCCTGGCTTTCAAGGAGCACTCTGGCTGTATACTTCTTCCAACACAGATCTGTTTGTTCGTTTGGCAGTCCGTGGTACTTTCAGTAACCTCCTCCAACACCATAACTCAAACATATCAATTCTTCTACGGTTTGAAGAGCTGTGGGATGACATCAAGAACATCATACAGGAAGAAAGAAAAAGGTCATTAAGAAGACAA